CGACCCCGCTTCAACCTCGCGCAACGCTCGAAAGCGTGCATCTGTACGCTGGCACGCACACCACCTCGGTGCCGGAAAGACTGGCAGGTCTGGAAAGAGCATTGCCCATCGAGATCGGTCGAGACAGTTGGATGTGCGTTCATTTGCGCCTCCGTCCACTAACCTCCCCTGCCAACTCTTGTCGCCCGTCGCTCACGAGACTTTTGCCTCCTCCTCTCTCTCTCTCTCTCTCTCCCACCCACACACACACATCCAGCGGAGGAAATGTGACGATCATGGCGGGCGTCACCATTGGCCGAGGCTGCACCATAGGCGCAGGAAGCACAGTGACCAAATCCATTCCCGATTGGTCCATCGCGCTGGGAAGCCCCGCAAAAGTGCTCAGAACGCTCTCGGAACAAGAGAGGGGGAATGTCAACCAAAAGGCCAATTGGGGTTGGGCTGAAAAGGCCGCTGTTGGTGCTGGCGATGATGCTGCCAAGAGCGAAAAGGAGATGTGAACTTGCGTAGCTGCACCACCACTCGAAAGCGAGGCCGCAATCATAGATGTCTGCCGTGAGGCGCGCACAATAGGGCGCAGAGCGTAAGATCGAAAATATCATTTCCTGCTTTTGATTGCTGCGAGCGGGAACTGCGGTTGGGTGACGACGAGGGCAAAGGAAGCAGAGCGCGCTCACGAATGAGGGCGAGTAGCCGAGTGACGTGACGCAATCTATACGACGGGAACGGCAGATGAAGGAGGGGCAGGCATGGTGCTCGTCGGCACGCTCTCTTCTGCCTCCACCCGTTGAAATTGAGTCGGATCGTTGTTATCTGGGAAGAGCGCAAAATGTGTGCTAGATCAGCATGAAGAGTGGGGGGAGAGAAAGAGAGAGGGGCAGGCGTGCACCTCTTTGGGGACCCCCTGGGCGAGCGTACGACTGCTTTTCCCTCTTCTCGTAGGCGAGGCTGCACTATAACTCGCATCACGAGCAGCCGCCAGAAAACCACAAAGAAACAAAACTCACACTTGAGCTCATCCAGCGCGACCACGCAGCTCTCCCTGACCACTCTAGGCGCCTCCTCATCCTCTGCCCATCTACGCAACTCGCCCAGCACGCTCTTCAAACAGTTCCCAGCAGCAGCAGCAGCAGCTTCTGCATCATCATCTTCTCCCTCTCCCTCTTCCGATACATCCTCGGCTACAGCACCCAAAGCCTCTGCAGCTTCGTGTCGCACCATTTCGTGCTCCGAGGTATCGGAGAGCACGCGAAGCATGCTGGGCACGCTTGCTGGGTGAGCCAATTCGCCAAAGACGAAGCAGATTTCGTGTCTGTTGAAGAGCGCCGAAGGGGCGGAAAGCGAAGGGGAGGGCAAGTCGAGCAGGGTCGCAAGTCAGCTCATTTCTTTTAGTTGCCATCTTGGAGCATGTGAGGGCGGGGCGGGGGGGATAGCGGTGCGATTGACACTGACCTGAACAAGGCGCTCTGATCCTCCAAGCCATCAGCCAGCGCCAAGATTGCCTTCTTTGCAAGCTCCTCGTGCGTGGCTCTCTCCTCTCTCGACAGACCCTTTTCATCCGCTTCCTTTCTGGATGCGTGCACAGCGTCTCGCAAGGCGAACATGGCCCTGTAGCGTTGAAAGAGCTGAGCTTCAGAATTGGTCAGGACTGCGCGGGAAGAGGAGATTGTTGCTGAGAGGGACTGGGAGGAGGATAGGGCGGGAGCGGGATCGATGGGCGCGAAAGATCTGTCGGCGGAGGAGGGGGAGGAGGAGGAGAAGGACGAAGAGGGGCCAGTCAGTCAGTCTCTTGTGCAAATTCCGAGACATGTCGCAACCATCGCAACCTCATCGCTGCCGCACGTGACACCATCTCACAGACATGCCCCCCCCCC